GCGGGAGGGGCGAGGAGCGGGCTGATTCCCGTCCGGCCCTGGCCGTCTCCTTCTTCCCACACTGGAGGAGGCCGGAAATACAGTAACTATTCTCGCTGTTCACCCAAGTCCAGGGGAGGCCGAGGGCTCCCTCCGCCATCACTGGGTGACAACAGCACCATATGAACCTCGGGTCTCCCACTCAACCTGCCGGGGGCCTTGGAAAACTGCCAGTTAGGTGGACCAGAGCAGGGACGAGAAGCGGCTCCTAGGGATGGAACTGGGACAAGCCCGGGGCAACCATTCCAAAATCTTTACTTTTCAGCCGCATTCCAAAAAGAATTGATGACTGAATCCTAGTCTGACCTTGTTGATTTCATCGAGGAATGACACAGTGGACAAAGACCATGTTATATGTATCTACACACATACTCTGACATATCTATATCTACATATATATACTGTTCTATGTATTGACCCACATACATACACTAATATATACTGTTATATACTGATACATATATCCATATGCACACATATACAGTGAATTAGGTACACATTAACATATATACAGTATGCACACATATATATATATATACACACATGTGGACTGGACTGATGCGTATTTTGATATATACAATATCATACACAGATACAGATATATATATATACTAATATAACATATATTGATGCATATTGATAAATATACGTGTGTGTATCTATACACACAAACTGACGATGAGTAACCCTTTGACAGCTTGAATTGGGGCCCGTCACTGGACTTATTTTAGGAATAGAATTCTTCCCCAGCAGAGCCAGTTGATGATTTCTAACTCTTACACGCTGTCCTCTGTGTCCTTTCCTACTCTCTCATCAGTTTTAACCCAGCCCACATTCCTTCATCCAGGTTCCCTTCATGTGCAATCATCCAGGATATTAGTTCTGATTAAAGTCTAACAGTTCTGACATGGCCTGGTTGAAGAGTGGTTACTTCATCTTATCTCAGAACTTCATTATTCTAAGAATTACAGTCTTTATTCGTGGCTGCACTGAAATACCGAGTGTACTTTTCATAACCCAAGAAATGGAAAGTGAAAAAGAAAATTTAGTGTTTCAAGGTGTCCACAAAGATTCGCACCAAGTGGCTCTTCGCAGGTGCAAATGCTTTCGTGTTTTACTGACTCAGGAGTTCCTGTGAGACAAGTGCAACAGGAAATCGCAATAGTTCCTTTTAGCATATCAGGAAGCCCACCCAGGCTCAGAGAGGAGAAAAGATTTGTCCACGAGGATATACATCTAGTTCAAATGCAACTGAGAAGTGATCCTTGGCCAACTGACTTGGAATTCACTGCTTTTCAAAATCTGTCCAGAAACCTACTCAGGAGCCTGCATTTGTACAAGTCCTGTAAAACCTGTGACAGAACACATACTAGAATATATTTTAGGAAATTGTATATGTAGACTAGACCCCTGCTGTTTCAAATAGGAACGACTTTCAGAATGACTGACTCAGAATAAAACGACCTCTCCAGCCACACCCTCAACAAGTACCTGCCAAGACTTGAATTTACCTTACAATGTACTTGCTCCAGGATCTTTTCAGGTGATCTGGGTTTGAAAGGAATGAGATTAGCAAGGCTCCAAATTTAAAGGTGGGTATGGGATAGGAGTGGTTCTAAAGGGAGCTGTCGAGGCCACGCTTAGTCCTGACAGTATCAAATGTCAAAGTGCAGTCAGGTGCTATAGAAAACACCTCTGGATAGGTTCTGAGGAGAGTAGGAGTGCTCAGGATGCTGGGAGGAAAGGCCGCGCAGGAAAGCGAAGGACTACAGCGGGCAAATCAATAGAACCAAGTCTCAGAATTAGAAACCCTCCATGAAAACCCACTTTAGGGGCTGGTGAGATGGCTCAAGGGCTAGGAGCACGGCCTGCTGCTGCTGCAGAGGCCCCAAGTTCCTTTCCCAGCACCCCAGCTCCAGGGGAACCTGTCATTCTCTTCTGGCCTGCAAGGGCATTTCACGAACTTACCTGCTGGCAAAATACTCATAACATAAATAAAAATTTAAAAAGCTTACTTAATAAAAAATATAATAGCAAAATAGAAAATAAACATTCACCTTAACATGTATGGCTATATAAAATCACTTGATGTGGAGTTTTGTATCAAAAAATAAAATACTTATTTATATGTTTCTTATTTTTTTGGTTTTTTGAGACAGGGTCTCACTGTTGCTTCATCTGGCCCGGAACTCGCTGTGTAGACCAGGCTGGCCTCTATCTTACAGAGAAAGATCTGCCACCATGCCCAACTATATGTTATTTTGAAGACAAGTACGGACTGACTTTTCCTTGGAAGATGTTGTTAGGGTCCGTGACTTGGTGGGTCTCTTCTGGAGAACAAATGCACGAGTATGGAGATGCAAAAATCAAGCAGAGTTTTACTAAACCACCACAACCGTTACACAAAAGCCCGCATTTATACAACCAATAGTTTCAAAGCAAGCATTTCACAAACCAATAACTTCAAGAAAAATGTTACAACTCCCTTCAGGTGTCCCAATCGGGGAGGGATGAGTGGTATGTGCCTGGCACAGCCCTTCCCTGTTATCTTGTGTAAGCAGACATGCCTACAGACATGACACAGACCAGACAGGTCAGGCTCCGGGGGCTGCAGCACTTGCCCCATCTCCGGATGCCTGTGTCTCCAGTTGAGTTAATTGGTTACAAGCAGTAAATTCAAACAAGCAGTAAAATTTCTCTTTCCCTAACAATGTGACCAAATGTCTGTTCTCCAGATCGGGCACTGACAACAGGCCAAAGAGCTGATGTCACCTGAGTCTACCTTAGTGAACCAGGGGTCTGTTGGGGTCACTTGCAGGAGACTAGTGATTCCAGACAGCTGCATCACTGAAAAGCTCACTCCAGCATGGTTACAATTCACAGAAGGGCATGCCTGCAGCTCCCTGCATTACCAGCCAGCCCACAGGAACCCCGGCCGGGTGGAGAGTCTACTTCTCCAGCTGTCCGTCACTGTGTAACTGGGGGGCGGGACTTGTGAATCTTGTCTTAGGAACTTCTGGAGCCATTTAAGCTTCTTCAGCTTCCTGAGTCTTATGAGTCTGTCTCTTGTCAGGAGGGAATGTTTCAGCTCAGGAGACAGCTGCCAACACTCCTCTTGGACTTTCCAATTGTCCCCTTTTGGGTTACGTTCCCTGAACCTCAGAGGGAATGGCATAGAAGTCTGATTTACTTTTGTCCACTTGTAGCTGCACGTTGGGTCGCTATGCCATAGCAAGAGGCCCTTTTCTCAGGAGTATGACCAGTTACAAGTTACGAGTGGTTTCTCTCCACTAATGACTGAGGTCCGCAGCCATAACCAACAGGCGTAAACACAAATATGTTTTTTATTTTATTTTTATTTTAAGTGTATGAGTGTGTTGCCTGCATGTTTAAGTGTATCCGTGTTGTGCAATGCCCAAGGAGCCCAGAAGAGGGCGTTGGATCCCCTGGAACTGGAATTAACTGGCTGTTAGCTGTTATGTGGGTGCTGGGATTCAAACTTGGGTCCTCAGCAAGAGCAGTCAGTGCTTTTATCCTCTGAGCCATCTCTTCAGCCCCAAACACAAATATCTGAAAGGTAATTTGACAAGCACGTCACATCTGTTTATGAAAACAGTGGTAGTTGCTTCCTCATTGGAGATGATGGACTCAAATCGTAGGTGTTGACACATGCTCCCTCCTGTGGATGGGCCTCAATCAGAAAGCAGTTGGCTGCACTCATAACACCAGCAGGCACATCGTGCCCAGCATGTCGGTTATAGCATGCAGGATCCACAACCCAGCACAGCACTCTGTGACATATCTTCCCCGGCAGCCTGAATGATGCCTTCTGGAATTAAGAGTGCCAAGCAGCAGGGAAGGGGCTCCTGCTCAGTCCCAGCATGATGCCATGTCGGGCAGCCCAACCGCTCTGGCCTCAGCAGCGGAAACTTACCATCCAGCCCTAGCATGCAGCCAACAGCAGTGGCAACAGCTTCATGGTTGGTGGGGCCTGAGGCACATCCTTGGCCAATAACTGGTAGCCAGTTGGCTCAGCCCTGGACTGGGATGTGTTCACTCAGCCCCAGTGAACAATACCCATCTCCAGCATGCTTTCATTCAGGGGTGAATGTACACAGTGTTGTTTCTGGGGTGATGATGCCCAACCCTAGGACAAGCTTAATTGTTTTCCCTTGCTCTGGTTGTCATTTATGTCTTCTCTGGTCGCTCAGATTTCAGTCTTCCAGAAGCTTGCTACTGCAACATTTGGCTTTTTGATAATTTCCCCCCTAGAAACCCTGGCTTAACACAAATCTTGCCACATTTGCCTTGTGACGTAGGCAAACGCCTGTGTTTGTGTCCCCTTCTTTCTCCTCCTTTAGGTTGCTTTATTAACCCAACTTTACAAGCCCAGTTTAGTCATTCAGATCTGCCAGAACTCCTCCTACCCCATAAAGATCATGTTCCACCACGGGGCTCAGCAAAGCCCTAAAGCTCCACACTACTCTGGAGGAGCCTCCTGAACTACTGTTTCCTAATCCTGTGAACACAGTTCTGGCTTGCTTAGAGAACTGGGAGACTTTAATCGTTGAACAAACGAACCATTAATAGCGGCTGCACCATTTGGAGTCCAGCGCATCGCTCTCATGCCCAGTTCTCTCAATAATGCCTGTCCTTCCTCTACCATCTTCCAGTTCCGGATACTGATGGGAACCTCAGCCTACTATAACCAGATTTCCTAATGGCTCTTATGAGTCAGTCCATCAGGGACTGACCTCCCGCATATTTACTCAGCTTTTGCCACCTGTCTCAAGCAGGGATGACTCATCACATTAGGTTTTTGCTTCTCTGGC